AGCCTGTAAAGAGAAACACAGGATTATTTCCACACCTAAAACTCTTCAGTCTTCAAGTTGTTAATTAGATCTTTGAACCACCTGCCCTATTCAGATGTGTGAAGGCATAGTATCACTACAGCAAAGTGCTATACAGAGAAGCAGTAATGGGTTCAAAAAGCACAAAATGTCAAAGTCAAACGCCAGTTAACCATTAAACACAATTTCCGCCACAATTTAAACACAAAATACAGCTTGCTTGTTTTTTCTGTGTGAGCAAAGTCCACATTTGTACATGTGAAAACGACTCGTCGCATTGATAATCTAACCTGTTAGCCTTGCTTGACCACTGCAAGCTACTGTTTACAAGACTGGCTTGATTCTGACATGGAGTTGTAACTGAATTTCACTGCTTGTAGGATCAGTTCCTTTTTTTTTTCAAAGCGAGGAAATGGTGTGGCTGTACTACACATGTTTCTTCCCTCCCAGGGCAACAACGTTTACACATATTTGGGCTTTAGAGAGCATGAAAAAGGGAACAAACATGTTACACAACCAAGTGGAACATTCAAAGCAAGTAGTGGAGCATTCAAATAGGACAGAGTGCAACTGGAATACGGTTAAGAGAGGACATGAGAAGTTTTGGGTGTCCTCAAGCTCAGTACAGGGCAGTACAAGACAGGGAGGGCTGGGAACAGATTACATCTGACCAATAGCAGCCGGCCTCTCAGAATAAGGAGAAGGGCAGAACTGTGTCCCTTAAGGGCTGGAGGTCAAACAGGGAAGTCTGCCAACATAGTGTTTGACAAGCAAAATCACAGAAGCAGCATAGTTTGGCCAGCGCAACTGTGTATGTGTGTACTGTGCTTTGTGCAATGTTGTACAACACAAGTTAATGTGATATTTAACCACAACAGCAGTATCTTCAGTGCAATCTCAAACTGAAAACAACATGTTATTTCAACTCTTTATCCCATGGCCAAATCAATACAGTGGTTATTTAGAAAAATAAACAAGCAAATAAATAAATAAATAAATCCTGTCTATAAGCATTAAAGGGGTCATATGATGCTGCCAAAAATAACATTATTTGGTGTAATGAAATGTGTTTATGCGGTTTAAGGTAAAAAAAAACACATTATTTTCCACATACTGTACATTATTGTTTCTGCTCTATGCCCCGCCTTTCTGAAACGCGTCGATTTTTACAAAGCTCATCGGTCTGAAAAGCGAGGTGTGTTGTGATTGGCCAGCTATCCAGTGCGTTGTGATTGGCCGAATACCTCAAGCGTGTGACGAAAATGTTACGTCCCTTACCATATTGTGATGCCTGCGGCAACCACATGTGACGACCCCGGGCTGGACTACGCTTCGTCCACAGTGAAAGCCGATCCGGCGATCCACAGCGCGAAGTTGAAGTATTTCCTCAGCGACCAGCACGGATCAACTCTAGGCATGACGAAGCGATATCGTCCTCTTTTGGAAGGCCAAACAAAGTAGTTTTGCTTTCACAACGAATCACACAGCGCCTTCACGACATGGCTGCAGCGGCAACAACAATACTACAGCAAGAATAAAAGTTACGCCTTCTTTCTTTGAGTGAACATTTGAGCGGCGTTATGCAAATCTTCCCACATAGTGATGTAGATATGTGGGGGCGTGTTAGAACGAGCCGTTTTAGGTAGGTGTGGCTGACTCTTAACTTTTATAAAGAATATCTCTTTGGATTTGAGACTTTAGGCTTTGCAACTTTACAGATCTTCTTTATGCACCAAGAGCTTGTAACACTCCAAAGAGAAAGGAAAAATTTAAATCGCATCACATGACCTCTTTAAGAACTGTCAAAAAGAAAAAAAGAAGTTGTGCTGATGCAAGAATTAGTTGCAAAAGCAGCTGTATTGCACAAGGCCTACTACTTTCACTAGTGTTTTCGATTGCTTAAAATTATACCTTGTAGCTGACAAAATGGTAGATGTAGCTGGATAAATGATAGATCTGCTTTGTTGTTTTTTTATGCATGTGAAAAACAACAGGATGTTTTCTGCTGTCTCTTTAGTAGACAGGAGATTTAATAAAGGATAACTGTATTTTTGTATTGTAACGTGTTGTTTATGCACCTGCAACACACCTGCTCAAATAGTATGTGCGTGCGCAGATAAATCACACCAGACAAATGGTGATTCGTTAACGTGAATCGGTTCTTTCAAACAGTTCTTTTCAAAGAACTAGTATGAAAATGATTCAGCTAATTAATGTTTGGACTTTGTCATCACGTGGGCCTTTTTATGCTATAAAACATTTTAATAAGGCCATCAAGACATATTCCTGGTTATGATTTTTAATTAAGTTGTGTTAATAAAGGTGTTTATTATTTCATGTGTCCCATTTCAGTACAAGCCAACCAGCTTATAAAAAACAAAGTCTTTTTAGAACGTAAATAATTGGCATTTACGTTACACAACATTAAAATCACTGGGATGGCAAGAAAAGTTTTGTAAAATGCTATTTTTAATCCAACTAGTTTCATATGCTTGTTGATAAAAACAATCAAGTCGTACTCATGGTTAACTTACTGTCACTTTTGGAGCATATCTCTCTCATTAGCCTACTATTGGACATGTCAAGAGACAGTTTAGAGACAGATTCGGGGTTGTGCTTCATTAAGCCTAAAGCAGATCGTAGAAACCACTGACACCAACCGTCTCTACAATAAACTGGCTTACAAGCCTTTCGGGAAACGTGCAAACCTAGACCGGTTCAACCGATTCATCTACAAGATCCGATTCTTAAAGAACGATTCGTTCACGAATCGGACATCATCACACCAAACCAACTGATGTCAAACACACAGGGCCTAACCCAGACCTCTCATACACAAACACTGACCATAAACTCAGTTTCTAAAAATGTATTTTTTATTTGTTCAATGCAAATATACTGTGAAATATGAATCTTACCTTTGGCGTGACAATCAGCGCAAAACTTGTTTTCCTCTAAGGCGAGAAGAGATGTGAGAACAGCCTGATAGCGGTCAATGTCTTTCACTGATTTACCCGACATCTTCAGAAATCAGTGTCTCGCTGATATACCTGCTCAGTAATAAATAGTCCAACGCCGCTGAGGAGATGTTCAGCTGTTTGTCCGTTAATGAAACACACCGGGAAGCGGATCGCTGACTGTCACAACCAACCGGCTGCTGCTGCAGATGAAGAGAAAAACACACTACTGAACTGCTGGCTTCCGCTAATCTTACCAGGAAGAGGAAAAGGCATTGAACCCCTGCTCATATCAAAACAACACCATATTCCTCGCTGTACATTCGCTGGTCCTTGACACCCAACTTTCCACCCGCAGTATCAGAGACACATATCGAGCACACTTGAGTAACGTTATTACTCTCACTTAGTCACAGCACTGCCTCTGTTGTGCCTGCTTCCGGTCGCCAGACATGTGCTGTTTAAAACATTCAGTGTCTAAAAGATCGCACAACTAAATCCAGCATCTGATAGACAATTGCGGTCGTGATGTTCGCTGTTCAATGATGTGAATTACAACCTCTTTCTTTGTGTAATTTCTAGAATATGGGGAAATTGCGCCACCCTGCGGGGGAAAACGACACTGCGGACATCTGTGTAACATTCATTCATGTTCGTGTTGTCACGCAGGCAAGACGTTTTAAGAAGAATTTCTTAGTAGCTGACTAAAGGTTTTGAGTCAAAAGTGAAATTACTCGAATACTTTTTTCCCCTTTCAGTGGTTCTGTATTGCTTTCACACACTAAGCTATTTTTTTTTTAAACTTTGTCCGAATTATGCAGTATGTAGATTTTAACAAAAAGGTTGAAAATGTGTTCCCAGTGTATTTTTATTATTATTATGTTTCATGTGTTAAAATGTATTAATTACAAAGATTGTGACAATGATTGTGTTCAATGCTTTTTTAGTGTTTAGTTTAAAAGCCCATTATAGTATATTTAAGGGCAGATCCCACTGTCCACAGCTCATTCCATATTAGCGTTGTTATCGTTTACAAAAACTACAGCTTGTTAATTGAAATAAAACTGAAATAAAATACAGTAGAAATATTAAATTAGATAAGATTAGAAATGCTGCTATGGCGACTAATGAGAAGTCTAATTGGAAGTTAAAATGAAAATAAAAATTCACGAACATTACGTCGAAATGTTTAAAACAAACATAATCTAAAAAATGACAAAAACATACAACAAAATTGCTAATATTTAAACTAACATTAAAATAAATTAATAAAAACAATTAACATTAAAAACTAACCCTAATTTAAAATATTAATAAATACTATGTTAGTATATTAGTAATACTAAAATAACACACACAATGTCAAAATGTCATGCGTTTGACCTGTAATATAAACATACTGTATATTTATTTTAGATTTCTTTTTAAATAAATCCACCCCGAGAAATATTTGCTAGTAAAAAAGTGTGACAAATCTGGCCTGTAATGTTTACAACTGACAAAATATTGGACATTTTATTGTCATTAGACTTGACCAGTGGACCACTGCTAGTATGCCAGTTGGGAACTGACTTTACACATCAATTAACTATCACAAAACTAAATAAAGTATTTTAAAAAATCACCTTGAGTTCAGCTGGTCATATGCATATGTGATGTAATTCCATATGCATATGTAATGTCATATGCAAAAATGCCAAGGAAAAGTTGCGTGTGTTGTATATTTTGTGGCTGCATGTCCTGATACAGATCTGAGTATCTGTTTATATAGCCTCAGAAACAAACATTCCAGTGTCCAGAAGCTCCACTGACTGTACACTAAGTCAACGACTGGATGTCCAGCGTACATATTCAACAATCAATTGAGGTATTCAGTAATGGGGGCGTGAGAAACACGCAAATGCAGCTGTGTCCAGTTAGATTTCTAGAGCTCTGCTGGATGCATGGACAATCATCAGAAATCTCCGCCTCCTGCGCATGTGATGGCTTCTCATCTCTGTCCAGTCCTCAGTGCGTTGGGTTCTCTGAGCTCCTTGAGTTCTCAGGGGCTGGCTGTAGGGCTGGGTTACACCTCTCTCATTCCTCCCCTCAGGTCCCTGCCACTGTGTTTTTCTTCCCTGTCCTGGGCAGCGCGCACACTCACATACACGCACCTTTCTTTTTCCTGGATCCACCAACCTGGGCTGAGAAGCCAGGAGAGAGGGTGGCAAGGTTTGGAGGAACCGCTGGGACGATTGGTTTTTGAATAGCGATTCTTCACCATGGATAGATTCTTCATCATCTTCAGAAGCCTGATCCTGTTGCAGGTGCTCTGCTTGGCCTTATCACAAGTGGTGAGTTTGGCTGCGGTTATCTACTTTTTCTTGGTGCTGGATGATGTTGAGAATGAGATTATGCATCTGGGAGAACATTTTATAGATTGAGATGTGATTCACTGTGGATTGGACTGGATTGCCAGTCAAAATGCCAATATATAAAGTTCATTTTGATGGAATTCGTGTAATTGGTTCATTAGGTTGGTAGATTACCTTTTGATCCTCAAAGTTGCAAGACTTGAGTTTTGTTTGACCATCTGAAAGTTTGCCCAAGTGGATAATATTGATTTCTACAACATGCAGATACAAGAGGCCTGGTATTTAGCAATAGACTATCTTCAGTCAGTGTTGTTTTTTGATTCTGAACTCTTAAACAATTCAGTTCAGTAAATGAAATGAATAAATGGAAAGCTGCTGAATAAAATAGGAAGCTGAAAGGGAACATGAGACAGATAAACAGAGAGAGGAGAAGGTAGAAAAGGAGAGACTACAATGAGGCCATTGAAAATACCAGAAGCTGCTACTCAAACAGACAGAACCTGAAACTGTTCTCAGCAGAATAACACGTACTTGTCAGATTTAGAAGGACCACCTCAGCCCAATGCTTGCATGCAGCTCATATGAAAAAAATGCAATAGATTAAATTAATGTGCATTCATTTTGAGTCTACCACCTTATCAAATAATGCATTGAAAAACAGATGTATCTTTGATGCTGAATGGGGGAGGGTCTGTGTAAACATTCCCGGCCTCTCTTTCCCCACCCCGGATACCCTGATTGCACAGCCGCTGCTTTTAATTTATTTTTCATCATAAACCTTGTTCTGTCTATCAAATTTAAGCATGCAAACATGTCTGAGGCAGTGTTCTTATCGTTAACTAAAACTAATAAAAGTATTTTTGAGTAATTGAAATAAAGCTGCAATGAAATAAAACCTTCACTTAAACACTAAAAATAAAAAAGTGGCCTAAACAACTTAGACTAACTGAAACGAAAAACTAAGACTAACTAAAAAAATCACGTACACAAAAGCATGCAAAAAATTACTCAAAACTTAAATTAAAAAGCCAATATATCAAAATATTAATAAATACTATTATAGTATTATAAATAATAGTAAAATAATACTAGTCTGAGGTCACAACAAGCATTATCAAACAATATAGGCTGCATTTGTTTGTTTATTATCCACACTTAGACTTGCATGCTAGAGGAATTCACCTAATTATGTAAATTGCCAGAAATGCAGCTAATTGCCATGTGAATATGAATTAATAATATGACAACATGAATTCATTCTTAACAGAACATTTTAGAATAAATTGCATACATTTGGCTAGTTATGTGGAAGTTAAATATAGAATGCTGTTTAGAAGCATCTGTCAGTGCATATCAGTAAACAGTCTTTAGTAAGGATTAAACTGAAACTGTATTAATGTGTTTTATTTTAGACCGGTCCACCCGGACCACAGGGCCCCCTTGGTCCCCCTGGCCCCGCTGGAACTCCCGGTGCCGACGGCATTGATGTGAGTATTGGAGCCGCCTGGCTGCACCACAGGTCGAGCTGGTACAAAGACAGGCATTGTGCACCTTGATTCATGAGCCCTGTATTCATCTGCACTACCAAAATCTTGCCAACAGAGGGCGCAAGAAATACAAATAATCACACAAAAAGGTTCTGTTAGAGGTTGCCTCTTTCCCATACTGAGAGAGTGCTACTAGATGTTGGTTATTTGATACAGTTGTGGCCTAGGGTGGATTCAGTATAAAGACGCTCAGCAGGATAAACAGGCCTGACTGATCCATTGCATATCAAAAACAGAAACAGGATCCCCACGTTCTTCCATAAGCTCTATTATTTCAGGATATTTAGATTTTGTAGTCATAAATAGTGATAAATGCATACATATATTCATCAGCACACTGTATTAATGTGTTTTATTTTAGACCGGTCCACCCGGACCACAGGGCCCCCTTGGTCCCCCTGGCCCCGCTGGAACTCCCGGTGCCGACGGCATTGATGTGAGTATTGGAGCCGCCTGGCTGCACCACAGGTCGAGCTGGTACAAAGACAGGCATTGTGCACCTTGATTCATGAGCCCTGTATTCATCTGCACTACCAAACTCTTGCCAACAGAGGGCGCAAGAAATACAAATAATCACACAAAAAGGTTCTGTTAGAGGTTGCCTCTTTCCCATACTGAGAGAGTGCTACTAGATGTTGGTTATTTGATACAGTTGTGGCCTAGGGTGGATTCAGTATAAAGACACTCAGCAGGATAAACAGGCCTGACTGATCCATTGCATATCAAAAACAGAAACAGGATCCCCACGTTCTTCCATAAGCTCTATTATTTCAGGATATTTAGATTTTGTAGTCATAAATAGTGATAAATGCATACATATATTCATCAGCACATTCTTATAGCGGTTATTGTATATAGAATTCTGAGAAAAACTCAAAATTAGTGCTGTCAAATGATTAATCGCGATTAATCGCATCCAAAATAAGTTTTTGTTGATATAATATGTGCAATGTGTATATTTATTATGTATATATAAATACAAACACATGCATGTATATATTTAAAAAAGATGTTATGTTTATAAATTGTATATATTTATGTATAATATAAAATATGAGAATATAAATATATACATTTATATACATGTAAATATAAAAGGCAAGACATACTCTATGTGTGTGTGTTTATATATACATAATAAATATACACAGTACACATACATATATTATGTAAACAAAAACGTTTATTTTGGATGCGATTAATTGCGATTAACAGCACTACTCAAAATACTGTAAATCTGACCTTATAAAGAGGTCAGGGTTGAGAAGAAGCTTGTTTGTTGGTGGAGTTATATGTATCATTTTTTTTTTTTACATATTTCTTTGACATATTAATAGCATATACAGTAGCCAACATTTGAAGTGGATCCAAACCTTTCATCAAAGTTGTCCTAAAACCTAAAACCAAAATGCGTTCTTGTCTTAGGACAACTTTGATTAACTTTTTTGATCCACTTCAAATGTTGCCTACTATAGACCTATGCTAACATGCTAGATTTAGCAGAGGCCATGATAATTTGAGGTTTATTTTATTTGATTATTTTGCTGTTAGTGATTTGTCCCCATATTTTATATTGGCACTGTCTGCTCTCTCCCAGTTATCATTGCTCATGTTTTTTCTCCGATTTACAGGGTGAAAAAGGTCCTCCTGGACCTCCTGGACCAGCAGTAAGTAGTAACCACAGCTGATATTTATATATTTACACTACCATTCAGAAGTCATACTCAAATAACTGAGAGTGTTTGTCATGTGTGAACCACTTTACAGGGACAAAAGGGAGAGTCAGGTGAGCCTGGTCCTGATGGATCTCCAGGGGAGGATGGCATTGATGTAAGTGACACCTACAATTAATGAAGTACAGTTATTGACTTTCATGATGTTATAGATCAGGCATAATTTAGTTGGGGTGAAAAAACAATTTCTTCCTAAGATTGTCATTTGGAGGTGAATAATTATGTACATTTCAGCATCCTCGAGTTCTCATTTAATTAAAAACAAAGCAAAACTTGAGCTAAATCTCATTTTGAATAATTACATTTGTTTTATAATGAACACTGGCATTTGAAATCATGTTCTGGTGAAGGTTATTCACACCTCCACTCTGAAGTGCTGGCATGAGACTGAGAAAGGAGATGTTAGTTCTAGACTTTCTCAGTCACATGCTAGGAAGCAAACATTCCTAATAGGATTTTCTGGTTAATCTGCTCTGGAATGCCAATCCCTGTTTTTTTTTTTTTCTCCCACTAGATTGTGAATCTGAGGAACTATGTATTTTTAACATGTTTTGGTACGGAATGAGAATATGCGCATGGATCTTCACATATTACTGTAAAGGTTCTGCTTATAAATGACTCTTCGCGTTACCTTAGAGGTGTTAACATGACCCAGTGAATGATTCCGTGTAAATAATTACTGCCTGAGTATTATTCAGAAGGCTTGTTTTTCTCTGTCTCCAGGGTTTGATTGGGGCTAAGGGTGAGAGGGGCCCTCGTGGTAATCCTGGACCAAAGGTCAGGAAATAATATTTTCTTTTCTTTATGGATGCAGAGTGCACATATTGTATATTCATGCAGATCATCATTTGGCCAACAAACATATATAATATATCAGTTAATGTTTAACAAATGATAATAGAGGACTGGACAACATTCGAAAACAATATTATGAATAACATGAATATCATGTCTGCATATTGAGAATATTATGAATAACATATAATGTCATTGTTATTCTAAAAGTGTATTAAGAATGGAATGCATCTAATTTCGCATTATGTTTTATTGATTTTCACAGGGTCAGCCAGGGCCTGGTGGACCACCAGGGCGACCTGTAAGTATAAAAAATAGGTTATGAATTTGTTGAACAAAAAATAATGGTGAATAAATACCACCACGTGCAGTTACTCCTGCTGTTCAACAGTTGATGTTGCAAAAATAGCAACATTTGAGTATTTCTATAGATGCAATATACTGTATTCCAGTATAAATGGACTACATTCAAGATCTGTTGCTTATAATGTTTTGTTTTTACCTTCAGGGACCTGGACTGCCTGGACTTCCTGTAAGTAACCCAGTTCATAATCTATTTTACTTCCTTAATTTGCTTCCTTTGCCTTTCCTTCCTATTCCACTTCTTTTATTTAGGGCCCAAGCACTGATAGCTGGTTATATAAAACCAAATTGATTTATTTTTCTCCCATGCTGTTTCAGTGAGAATGATTGGTGCACTTTATCTGTTTGCTTAAAAACATTTTGCATCTACTAAAGGCTTTTGCAGAGCAAGCATTACAAAACCTTTTGAATCCTTATGGATTCTTAGGCCACTGAGGTTTTGTCTGTTCTTAGATACGACAGCATACCCTTACTAGTGTATTAGATTAATAAACAAGTATCTCATTTCACTGTTCATTATCTCATTACAGGGAGCAGCAGGCCCCATTGGGCTTCCTGGACAAATTGGGACTACTGGGCCAAAGGTGGTTCTCACTCAAATATATTTTCATAATAACATGGCAGTATATAAATCTTTCATGGATAAGAATGCTGTCCATACTTAACCTATGTTACTAGCTAAGACTGTAGTTTTGAATATTTTTAATTGTAAAAAAAAAGGCACAATTTCACTCAGCAAACCATTGTTATTAAAAGGATCACTGAACTGATGCCTCTCATCCCATAGGGTGACATGGGAAGTCCTGGAGCTCCAGGATTAACCGGACCTCCAGGAAAGCCAGTAAGTCACAGAATGTTTCATTTACTTCACTTTGAAATGTAGTCTTCTCAAGTCAAACCACAAAATCCAATTCTCTGTATAAAGCTGTAGGGCTGATAATAAATCAGCGTCAGGACAGTGTAAAATTACATCTCATCTCATAACTTCTGCAATTCTGGGCGTACGTTTTATTTCATTTTCTGCTTTATTTCATTTCATTTGAAGGCATCCATTTGGGATCTGCTTCAGAACCATATTACTTCATAATAAACTCTCCAAACATAGCTTTTTCTTCCCAGGCACCTGCATTTATATAATCTTTCTCAGTTTTCCTTATCTCATTTTTTTGTGTCATTTTCAGGGTCCACCAGGAAAGTTTTTGGGTGTAGAGGAAGGCAGTGCTGACTTCCAGGTAAGCTGATAGTTTTACTCCCAAACCATGATGTGCCGCAGCTGAATTCCAACGTATATTTCTGGAAAAGAAAAGAAAAGAAAAACAAATATTAAAGCCTTAAGTAAACCACATTAGCCAGCTTGAAAAAGAATTATAACATTTGATTTCATGCAATAAATAAATAAATAATAGTATTTGGACAATTTTATAAGGGAATAAATCATCTGCACGATTGAACAGCAGCATTGTAAAACTGTAGGACTACCAAATAAAACTATTGAAAATAACTTCTTAATGCATTTTAATTAGTCTTTTTCACTTGTTATTTTTTCCCAGTAAAATACATTTGAAAAAAAAAAATCCTTGAAATCCCTCAAATATGCTGACTTCCAGGTAAGCTGATAGTTTTACTCCCAAACCATGATGTGCCGCAGCTGAATTCCAACGTATATTTCTGGAAAAGAAAAGAAAAGAAAAACAAATATTAAAGCCTTAAGTAAACCACATTAGCCAGCTTGAAAAAGAATTATAACATTTGATTTCATGCAATAAATAAATAAATAATAGTATTTGGACAATTTTATAAGGGAATAAATCATCTGCACGATTGAACAGCAGCATTGTACAAATTTGCAAACTGTAGGACTACCAAATAAAACTATTGAAAATAACTTCTTAATGCATTTTAATTAGTCTTTTTCACTTGTTATTTTTTCCCAGTAAAATACATTTGAAAAAAAAAAATCCTTGAAATCCCTCAAATCATTTTATAAACATCCTTAAAATAAGATGCATTTACTTATGAACATGTTAAGATGATAATAAAAATCCTTAAAACAATATGATGCTTTTACTTCTGAATATGATAGGATGATAATATTTCTATATATTTTAATATTTCATATTTATAATATTTTTTTCCCTGAAAAAAGGGGAGAAAAATTCTTAAACTTTTTTATGCATAAAGTATAAAGCACAATATACAGTATAATAAGTTTGGATTAAGTTTGAAAATATTATTAAAAAAAAAACATTTGTTGAGAATGTGGTTGTAAAGTTGATTTAAAAAAAATCAGTCCTACACTGTTTATTACTTATCTTCCAAACTGCTCATATTTATTCATTAAATCCTTCTTCTTGGCTTTCTTTTTATATTTGTCCTCTCAGAACCAGCCCTTCTCTGTATTTGGTTTCTCTCAGAGTTTGCCCTGTTAGACCTTACACACCCCTTATTGATCTCAGTGTTCATAGATTTTCCTAATGAGCTTCATTAAATGGGTGCCATCAAAGGCTTCTGCCCATTAGCACCTCTCTGGATCAAGAAGGAGAGTGGGTCCCAGGGCTGTGATCTGCAGCCAGTCTGCCAGGAGTCCGTTTCCTGGGGGATCACGTGGCAGTCTGGTTGACTGCTTCTCCTCTGGCCTGTAGCACCCAGCTGGAGCCCTGTTCTGTCTGGATAAATCCTTATCATCCATTTACTGTAATTAGAGGGCTGGTGGTCTGAGATCTAGTAAAAAAAAAAATCCAAGGACTTCTTCACTCAGCTAAACAGATCTGCCAGTAATTGTTTAGCCTGTGTGATCTGGAATGCTGCACTTTTTTAATCCGATGTTGCTGATTTGTGTTCTAGTGTCCAACCAACTGTCCACCTGGGCCAAAAGGTCCTCAGGGCCTACAGGGAGTGAAGGTCAGTAATTTAACATTTTATATTTTTCTCAAATGTGTTTGTTGTGAATTACTGTGACTCAAGCCTATGGTTAAAGGTAATTTCAAAAGCCTGCAACCACTTTCCCCATGACTGCATTCACAAAATAGGCAAAAAATTATAATAATAAAGATTAAAATGTTACTTAAGCAAGTCCTTCCATTATGACTGCACAAGTGTTTTGCATCATAGTTGTGTACATGAAATGATGGATTGACCAATCATCATTTCTAAAACATTTCACAAAATGGCAGAATTTAATGACTCATCATGGAATTATTTTTCTCACAGGGACATAAAGGTCGCTCTGGGGTATTGGGAGATCCAGGAAGCATCGGAAAAGTGGTATGTTTTTCTTTATGATGATGTTTGTAATAATAATAATAATAATAATAATAATAATTACACTTTACAATAATTTTCCATTTCATAATATTTCTTAACTACACTAGCTAACATGAACTAACAATATGCGTCTAATTCATTAATCCTAATGTAATTTTAACATTAACTAACACATTATTAAAAACAAAAGTTGTATTGGTTAATATTGCTTAATGAACCTGAGTTAGCATTAAAAAACAATGAAAATTTATAGTTTTATTAAATAAAATTAACAAAGATTAAGAAATACTGTAACAAATCAAATGCTCATTGTTGGTTATTATTAGTCAATACATTAACTGATGTTAACTAATGGAACCTTATTGTAAATTGTTACCACAACATAATTATTATTATTAATAATAATACTACTAATAATAATAATAATATGTGAATTAAAAATGTTCATTTGAACATCCTTTTGTTATTTTGTTGGCCTGACTTCATACTAAACATTGTGATTGTTCTATTCATGTAATAACCATGCACAGAGAACATCTCGGTTACATGTGTAACCCTTGTTCCCTGAAGGAGGGAACGGAGACGTCACGTCGGGACCGACGAATGGGAATCTCGCCAGAGAGACCAATCCACTTTGAGTGAAACTAAATGAGCCAATGGACATTGGCATGCAGAATTCGCATCTGGCTGCCACACCTCGCAGCGCGGGTATAAGAGGCAACAGGTGCACCGTATTCATTCATGTTTTCGCTGAGGAGCTGAGCCGGTGACCCGGCAGCTCAGCAGTGGTACAGCAACTGTGGCGATGAGATGTGACATTTCCATTCCCTCCTTCAGGGAACAAGGGTTACACATGTAACTGATACATTCCCTTTCAGTCAGACACTCTCGACGTCATGTCGGGACAGATGAATGGGAATCCCTACCAACGTGCCACAGGTATTGCCCCCTTCAGTGCATCTGAATATTCCTATAAGGCAGACGATAGGACCGTGCTCTACACAGAGAAGGTCGACTACTGCTGTTCCTCGAGCAACCCAAACACTTGGATAACACTGGGAAAGCGTGCCCTTCCTACTTGGAAGAGGCATGCTGTGGAGTCACCTCCTCCCAGAGGGGGTTGAGTGACATTTACTCATGTTGAGTAACCCAAAAGGGTCCTATTGCACATGGAAGTCTCTGAGAATGGCTCAATGCTGCATCATCTAGAGATGGCAGAGCATAGCCTGCCAGGGGAAACACGGCCCTAGTAACTGTACCATGGAAATACACATATGGGATCTCAACAGGGTCACTCATATGGGCACTAGCCTCACACCAGATTTCAATTCATTGGATGAAAGGCCTAGCGCTGGACGCTCCACCACGTCCGGCCGCCGGAGTGCTGGAAGACTCGACAGGGTTTGCCTGGTTAAGGAACTCTCTGGAGAACTAGGCGTTATGGATGCCGCAAGCTGACTCTGAACCGGGCCTCTCAGTGCCACTACTCGTTTGAGGTGAGAACACAAGAGGAAACCGGTTCGACCCGTTCGAACATGTTAGGAGTCGCCCAGCCCACAGCTCTACAAATATCTGCTAGCGAGGCACCACGAGCCAGCGCACAAGATGATGCCAGATCAGCTGAACCACCTGGGGGTGGAGTCTCCACTCCCCTGGAAGTGCCGCTCAAGACAGCTCGTCAGCTGCCCGATTGAACACTCCTAGGATGTGGATGGCACAAAGGGACCTCAGATGTTTCTGACTCCAGAGGAGGAGGTGGCGGGCGAGTTGCGACATGCGTCTTGAGCGCAAACCACCTTGCCGGATGATATATGCAATGGTCGCAGTATTGTCTGGTTGATCGAATCCAGCTCCATTCCGAGAAAAGAGATCCTCTGTGAGGAAACCGGTTCGAACATGTTAGGAGTCGCCCAGCCCACAGCTCTACAAATATCTGCTAGCGAGGCACCACGAGCCAGCGCACAAGATGATGCCAGATCAGCTGAACCACCTGGGGGTGGAGTCTCCACTCCCCTGGAAGTGCCGCTCAAGACAGCTCGTCAGCTGCCCGATTGAACACTCCTAGGATGTGGATGGCACAAAGGGACCTCAGATGTTTCTGACTCCAGAGGAGGAGGTGGCGGGCGAGTTGCGACATGCGTCTTGAGCGCAAACCACCTTGCCGGATGATATACGCAATGGTCGCAGTATTGTCTGGTTGATCGAATCCAGCTATATTCCGAGAAAAGAGATCCTCTGTGTTGGCACGAGTTTGCTCTTTTCCCAGTTGACCCGAAGACCCAACTGGCTGAGGTGTCTGAGCACCACGTCCCTATGTGCGCACAACTGATCGCGAGACTGTGCGAGTATGAGCCAAGATTGGTCATAACCCACCGCTCTTCTTGGGCACAATGAAGTAAGGGCTGTAAAACCCCGTCCTCATATCGGCTGGAGGGACTGGCTCTATTGCGTCCTTTGCCAGCAGGACTGCGATTTCCGCACACAAAACAGGGGCATCGACAGCTTTTACTGATGTGAACCGGATGCCCCTGAACTTGGGGGGACGTCAGGTGAATTTAATCGTGTAGCTGAGTCTGATGGTCCGCAGGAGCCACCGAGATGGCTGGGGAGCGCTAACCAGGCTCAGAGAGACCATGCCAGTGGAACCAACGGAGCATCATACGTCGGAGTATGTCGGAGCATCACCGACGTACCCGCAGTGGGGCAGCAGCCCGGGGCCTGTGACAGCCATGCCTATGACGGCAGAGGGCGGGGTCTGGGTGTGAAGTGTAACACTCACCTGATCCCTCCTCGTGAGAGGGGGAACGCAGGCCCCCGGCTTGAGGCTTGTAACAGCCTGGCGTGTGACGGCATGACGCCGTCTTGAGTGTCACAGCACCTACCTGGTTCCACAAATGGGCAGAGTGAGTGCTGTTGGGCGAAAGAGGAGGAGAGAAGTGATCCTGTGAAGCACATCCGACCACTCTCCTCCTCTTCGGACCCAGAAACTGAGGAAACTGCTCTCTTTCTGAAGTTTTGGGTACCGCTGGCTGCTGGGCCAGCGACGGAACACAATCAAAATGAAAAAAAAAGATTCTCCACCCAGCCCTTCTCCCGAATGAACTTGCGATTGCGGCAAGGTTTGGCAGGGGCGCGAGGTCTGTCTCAGTACTCAGTTCATGTAGAACCGCCAGGTCATGACCACCCTCGTGCAGGTCCCTCAGGGCTTTGGCCTGATAAACCTGCAATAACGCCATGGCGTGAAGGGTAGAGGCCGCTTCCCCACAAGCTCTGTAATCACTGCCAGTTAGACCTAACGAATACTTACAGGCCCGTGAGGGGAGACACGGGTCACCCCCCAGAGTGGTAGCGGCCCCCAAATATACCCCAAAGCAGCCCCGCCATCGAGGGTGGTGAGGGAGGAGGAGCTGCACGATTTGTTTCTGGCAGTAAAAGGTGCCTTCCACGATCTCGTGAGCTCCTCATGCACTTCCGGGAAGAATGGCACCGGAGGAGGGCACTGAGAACCAGCACGACCCCCACTGTCGAACCACTCATCCAGCCTCGAAGGATTGGGATGCGGTGGAGGATTCCACACGAGCCCGACATTCTCGGCGGCCCCGGAAAGCATAGCCGTCATCTCTGGGTCTGACTCTGGCAACGCCACTCTCCCTGAAGGGGGCAACTCAGCCTAGTCGTCATCCCTGGAGAGCGAGAGAGCTCGCCCTCCGATGCAGCGATCGACATCTGGTTGTCAGGGGAAGCACTGAAGGATATGGGCGGTACACTCTGTCCTGCAAAGGGCCCAGCGCGCACCTCCGGCAGCTCCACCGGCTGCGGAGCACTTGAGGGGTGAGGAACTTCCTCGGAGAAGCCCTCACAATGATCCTCAAATCACCTCTGACTCCACCGGAAGCAGCGATGCCCCGGGTGCCGGGATGAACGCTGGATCAAGGCAGAGGCAGAAGGACTCGTCAAACTACGTTTGACGTAGCGGAGTCTTTTATGCAACTCCGAGATGGTCATGTCCCCACACAGAGAACATGCACCATCCACGAATGCTTTCTCAGTATGCTTAATGCCCAGACATGTGAGGTAGCGAGCATGACTGTCCTGAGGCGCCAGGTAACGACCACATCCAGAAACGCACGGGTGATAAGACATTTTTAAAAAGACACAATCACCCGTGTTGCTCTTTTAGGGATTGCTCTCCTGGTGTGGCTGTCTGCACGCCGGATGATTCCCGTGAGACCGTGACCACCACTGCTGTCTGCCGTTATGCCCGTACTCACTTTCTGCAATCACTCGAAGAGAAGAGCAGTAGCGATGCACCACTGCTCGGCTCCGAAGCAAAAGATGAATGAATGTGGTGCACCTGCTACCTCTTATACCCGCACTGCTGGGTGTGGCAGCCAGATGTGAATTCCGCATGCCAATGTCCATTGGCTCGTTTAGTTACTCTCGAAGTGGATTGGTCTCTCTGACGATATCCCCATTCGTCGGTCCCGACATGACGTCGAGAGTGACCGACTGAAAGGGAACTAAATGGTGTGTACACTGTGTAACCACAGAGGGGTGCATGTGAGCACCTTTCTGAAAGATAAAATGACATGAAATGAGTCCCCTTACAGCTTTAAACTTCATTAATCGCATATCATAGTGTGTGACATGCAGAGAACAAAAAACATACTGATTGGTTGGTAAGGTTAAATAAACACTGTTTATTATTAAGCATCCAGATCATGCTTTGAGGTGCCCCAGCATCTCTCCCCTAACACAGCGTCTATCAGCAGTGCAAGATTATGTGTTAATGAAGCCCCTCAAAGCATATAACTGCCTCTAATCTGAGTGTGAGTCACAGATAGAACACATTGACCCAGATGAAAGGAAAAAGGGGGCCGGCAGGTACTGAGAAGCTACTGCACTGTGAATTAATCAGACTTAATGAGCCCAACAAGGACATTAGAATGGACTACAGGGACAGAACGGATTTACCCATAATGCAGAGCATGACTGTCCAAGCTGAAGTTATAAGTCTTTGGGAAGTGTTGACTTTAAGATTGATTATCAAGTTCAGGACTCACATATCTGAAGTGAAAATCCAAAATTGTCATATTAAAAATAACATTAGCAAAAAAAAAAAAAAACATCTTTAAAGTAGTTCGTTTTATATATATATATATATATATATATATATACATATATATACATATTGAATTTATGAATACTGCACTGTCTTGTATTGTTTTAGGGAGCTACAGGACAAAATGGAAGACCTGGAGCTCCTGGTCTTCAGGGAGATGCTGTAAGTAGAATTTCATATTTCATTATCCGTTCCATATCATATACACAGTAATTGTCAGCATTAGATGTGCAAGGAACCCTTTCCCATCTTCTTCACATCTGTCCATTGTGTTCCCCTTGTTAAATGAGGGTGAGTATTTTCTGCCTACAGTTCCAGTGTGACATTCTTGCCCTGACTATTTTGGAGCCTAAACCACCTTGAAATTGCTTCTGCTATTAACTATTCATCATCATCAAACATGACTCTCCTGGTGACTTGGGGTAATGGAGCATGCTGGTTATGATACAAAACATCACAACGTAGCTGCGCAAGCCATAATGCAGGCACCCTCGCTAACAGGATGAGTTATTGCAGCCTTGTTCTGATATCAGCACAGAGGACAGACATGAAGGAGGTCTACATTCATTCTTCATGCAATTCTTCATATTTTGTAGGGTTTGCCTGGTATGCCTGGAGCCAAGGGTGAAATTGGAATTAAGGTGAGATCATGTAGTTATTTTATGAATGCCTACATGGTTTTTGTGGAACCATAGTTTCTGGATGTCTGTTGATACTTTACTATCCATAAGTGCTTCATTCTTGCCTTTCCAACAATTTATTTGTTCCTTTGAGTTTAGGGTGAGACAGGAACCCGAGGCTTGACGGGAATGCAAGGTCCTCCAGGACCTCAAGTATGTCACATCATTCAAGGTCAGTTTTACGCATAATCCAAAAACTTTTCAGGCTTCTCATTATGTTTCCTGTTCTTTCAGGGAGAGCCTGGTCCTCCAGGTGAAGCTGGCATGGAGGGAGTCCCAGGTCCAAAGGTCAGTGGCCATTATCATTGACAATCATTTGATTAACATTGAAGGAAAATCTATTTTCTTAAATTTTCACTTCATGTCCAATAGGGTGACAGGGGCGAAAGAGGACCAGTTGGGTCTCCTGGTATTGTTGGCTTGCCTGTAAGTTTCTTTATTATTTTTCAGACATTTATTTTCAGATATTTATTTTTCTGCTATAATCAGCATTCCCAGGGTCAAAGAAACCCTGGATATACTGGGTAATTATAAATATATTTCAACAAAAACTACAAACAAACACTAATAGAAAAAAAAAACTGTAGAAAATATACATTTCAAAAACATCTATATCAAAGAAAGTGCCTTTTGTGAGTCTATAGAATGTCTATAATAATACAAATTTGGTAACACTGGAAGTCATCATTATATATAATGACTTTATATAGAAATTATATTTTATATAATGCATTAATAAATAATTTTAATGCATTAATTATGCCTTGTAATGCACCTTATAATGCACTTGTATGACCCCATGAATAAGTTTAACCACAGTAATACATTTTTCAGACATTTATTTTCAGATATTTATTTTTCTGCTATAATCAGCATTCCCAGGGTCAAAGAAACCCTGGATATACTGGGTAATTATAAATATATTTCAACAAAAACTACAAACAAACACTAATAGAAAAAAAAACTGTAGAAAATATACATTTCAAAAACATCTATATCAAAGAAAGTGCCTTTTGTGAGTCTATAGAATGTCTATAATAATACAAATTTGGTAACATATAATTATAATTATATATAATGATTTTATATAGAAATTATATTTTATATAATGCATTAATAAATAATTTTAATGCATTAATTATGCCTTGTAATGCACCTTATAATGCACTTGTATGACCCCATGAATAAGTTTAACCACAGTAATACATTATTATACTTCTCTATTTATGATTACACCTTTAGAAAGTATAATGCAATAAAACACAAGAAATAAAATATTTCAGATGTAACAAGGAATTGCATTTTTTACTTTGGTTACAATTATTTATGAAAAGATATAATGCTCTACAACTTTTACAACAAGATTCTGAATATATTTATAATGCATTATACAAAAAAAATATTCAATATATATATATATATATATATATATATATATATATATCATCTGTCTATTTCAATCCTTCACTTCACTCTTCTTTGTTGTACCTGCAGGGCAGTAAAGGAGAGAGGGGACCCATGGGCGTCCCAGGTGCTCAGGGTCTAACTGGAACGAAGGGTGACAAGGTTTGTGACCATATAAACACAGTAAATAATGGTAAATGAACTGTCTTCATGTTTAAACTGATAGAGTAATGAGGTTTGACCACATGGGGGCAGTCTTCACTCGTGAGTTGACTCTTTTAACTAGAGGACATCTATGCACTTAGATAATCCATGTCCATGTTTCCAAATAATACCCCTCAATTCAGTATGAAATATCCTCTTATGGACACTTTCATGTTTGTTGTCCTTTAATCTACAATATCCTTGCCGTTTAATACATTGAATATTGGCGGTAAAATCCAGTTGATTTAATGTGCTCGGAGAGTTTACGGTAAAATAAGATATTACCAGCAATAAATTCCCTGCGCCTCACCCATTAAGGCTGACACAGAGATATCTGATGTACAATTGCATCTCCTTACAGGGATTCCAAGGCAAAGTGGGATCAAAGGGAGACGTTGTGAGTACACCCTCAGATAAATACATAGGCTACACGTATTTATGGAGTGAAATAGAAACCATACATCACAGTCCACATCATAAAAGATAACGACTGAAGGTGACATTGATGGATCTCACCTGCTTCTTTCGCAGGGTGATCCTGGTGTAGAGGGATTGGCTGGGGAGAAAGGAGAGAAGGTAAATAAGGCTGTAGTCGGATACATTTATTTAATAGATTGGTTCCAGAGGACTTCTGTTCATCTTAAAATGGCATCTCTCCATCTAACAGGGACAATCTGGGGAGCCCGGACCTAAGGGACAGGTAAGGACAGCGTGAAGAACACAGATAATGCTAGGTGAAACACATAATTTAGTTAGATCCTGCTTTTGTAGTTTGTTTTACAATGGTGAAGGACATGACACAAGTGAACTATGTCAGCTTTTTATTTTAAAATACTTTATGACGTCCCAGTTTTATGAGCACATTTAAACATGCCCTCTGACGTGTTAGCTTTTGCCCAAACCAATGGTGTGAGATAGAGATTAGGGTAGGACTACTTTTTTGCCCTACAAATGGAAGATGATGAACAAGGCATGTTTACAACACTGTTATTGTTAAAATCATGTTTGTTAACTGAAATAAAGCTGAAATAAATAAAATATAAATAGTACATACAAACTTGAAAAAAAACCTTAAATGAAAATATGAAACTAACTTAACTAAAAATGAACTGAAATAAAATAAGTTGACACCCTGAAATAAAATAAGTCAAAACACTAAAATTAAAACTAAAACTGAAATAAATAGAAATGAAATCTAAATAGAAATATTAAACTAATAAAAATGCCAAAGCACATAAAAATGACTAATGCATACTGTAAACTGAAAAAATGAAAGCTGAAAAATATAAAAGCTTATTTAAAATATGAATGAATGTAGTCAATAATAAAGTTATTAATTAAATAAAACTTTATTAAGTATATTAACAGAAACAGCATATCAGTAATGCTAAAATAACCCTGGTTTGTGGGGCATGTTAAGGAAACCTGTTTGGAAACAATCATCAATATGAGGTTGCTCAAACTTCTTATTCCTCTGCCCAAAATTCTGGCATGCAGCAAGGTTTTTGCTACGAGACTAATGATTTTCTGACTATAAAATGTGCAAAAACAATTATTTTAATTATTTATAATCATTATTGGTAACACTTTAGTATAGGGACCAATTCTCACTATTATTAGCATGCCTATTATTAACATATTGGCTGTTCATTAGTACTTATAAAGCACATGTTCTGCATGACCATATTCTACATCCCTAATCCTACCCAATACCTAAACTTAACAACTACCTTATTAACTATTATTAAGCAACAAATTAAGAATTTATTGAGGCAAAATTCTTAATGGTTTGTTAATAGCAAAGCTCGGACCTTAAAATAAAAGTGTGACCTTTTTATTTTATATAATGTAAGCATATATACAAAATGAACAATCAGCTAATTAAGCAAAATTGATAAACATGTCAAGTATCGCTCATATTTACAATATTTTTGCTGTTCCATTTGTACCTCTAGTGGTAAATAAATTACGCGTTTCACCTTTAAAATAATGCTTGTTTCATCTTTCGCATCATCCAATGAAACAACCAATAGTGAACATCCCAGTTTCTCTATTTTCTTAATTACTGCCTCCTCTATCAACAGCAAGGTGTGATCGGTGATCAAGGGAACAACGGCCCTACCGGAGATCCCGGTAAACCAGGAGACCAGGGTCCTGCAGGCTTACCTGGTTCACGTGGCCTGCATGGAGAAAGAGGAGTTCCAGGGATGCCTGGAATACAAGGACCACCTGTGAGTGTTGAACAGCATCAACAGTTCCCAATAATCATTTACATCACAGAATTTCCAACCTACATTCCCCAACAAAGAATAATGTGTACCAGAGAGCAGCATTTTTGCCTCCAATACAACAAAGCCAAAGTTGCACCAGCCAGACAGGTCGCAGTAGCATGCAGTGCTCAGCACAATAGAGAAACACTTGCAGAAAATAATAAGAACCCTTAGTGGTGAGGAAGATTGACTTTCTCTTTCACACTTTTAAAGGCATAGTTCACCCGAAAATGAAATAATTTACTCTCCATCATGTTGTCCCAAATCCAAATGGAGATGTTTAGCTTCCTGACCTGTTCTTTTCCCTATAATGAACAGCTGTGGTCACTATTCACTTTTATTATATGTGACCCTGGACCACAAAACCAGTCATAAGTCGCACAGGTATATTTGTAGCAATAGCCACCATAATTATCGATTTTTCTTTTATGCCAAAAATCATTAGTACATTAAGTAAAGATCATGTTCCATGAAGATATTTTGTAAATTTCTTTCCGTAAATATATCAAAACTTAATTTTTGATTAGTAATATGCATTGCTAAGGACTTCATTTGGCAACTTTATAGACAATTTTCTCAATATTTAGATTTTTTTTGCACCCTCAGATTCCAGATTTTCAAATAGTTGTATCTCGAACAAATATTGTCCTATCCTAACAAACAATACATCAATGGGAAGCTTATTTATTCAGCTTACAGATGATGTATAAAAAATGTTTGACCCTTATGACTGGTTTTGTGATCCAGGGGCACATATGGAAAGGAGGAGCTTGGACATTTTTTTAAATAACTTATTTTGTGTCCTACACAAAAAAGAAAGTCAAACAGGTTTGGAATGAGAATAAATGATGACAAAATGTTAATTGGCAAAGAGTGTTTTCCTCATTCTTATGATTTTGTTTTCAGGGTCGTGATGCTATAGATCAACACATCATTGACGTTGTCCTGAAGATGCTTCAAGGTGAGTAACAATCATTGTTCTTTCTGTAAACAATCAGTGTGTCAGGAAGAGGGCAGCTGTAATCTATTGAGCTAAATCTACACAGTGCTTTTCATCCGCTGAAATGTATTAACGTGCATCACCACTCCTCTTGGACAGCTTTCCTGCCAAACACTGCGGACTGTGTAGTCTGCAGCTATTTATCTGCTGTTCAAAATCGACTTGCACACAGTTCTGTTTTCTCTGGGATTGTCGGTCTCTGCTCTCTGGCCTTCTATTTTGCAAGAGAGAGATGACCTGAACTGGCCCATGATAACCTCTGTTGGCTCCCACCATTTCACAATGTAATCCCTCAGCCTTTCAGCCTGAGATTGCAAATATACCTTCACTTATACATACCCACACACTCACCTGAACCGAGGGGAAGCATTCCTCTCTCGTTCCCCATTGGAAAATAGATTAGATGTGGAGATTTGGTCACTGTGACAACTTGAGAACTGGTCAACAAATTAATGTCCACCTCTGGATTGTTATCTTAATGATGTTTACCCAATGTTGCAGGACACCCAGTGAGATGTGACTGTGTGCTAAGCTAAGGTTCAACACTATTTGCAGGCATTCTTTTCGGGGTTGGCCACCTCCATCACACATTTTTGTATTCCACTGTGCTGCTCTTTCACTGCTGTTCTATGTAAACATGAGCTAGATGGATGTGTTTGACCTCTGCGATCACGTTTAACCTCTTTTGCAGTATTGTGCATAAGGGGCTGTTCACACAGAATAAGTTTTTCCATTCCACTCTTCTACTTTCCCATTGTTTTTCTGTATAAACAGGCTAGACAGACATGTTTGACTGTTGAGCTCATGGGCCTCATCTATAAAACGTTGCGCAGAAACGGTCCTAAATTTGATCTTATGATCATCTCTCAAATATGCGTAAGTGTGATTCATAGAATGAACGTATGCACAGAAAACGCACATTGTGAGATCTGATGTGAAATCTATGAATCGCAAATGATCTTGAACTTGAGTGCAACTGAATGGTTTAATTAGTCAGTTAATGTCATTAACATGTAAAAGATCACCACGTCATCATCCAAATCCTTTAATTTAGAACAGCGAGCTGCAAGAACAGTGTACATTTCCAAAAATCTGCAGTACTCGGACAAGAAAACTGTGTACGTCTGCTTAGACATTGACGTGATGCTATAAGCACTTTTCCACGTCAAAGGCAGTTTTTACAAATATGAGCGTTGGCGTGGATTTAAGTGCGCACACTGTAAGATCAAATCTGTGCGTACGCACACTTTATAAATGAGGCCCCATGCCTTTTGCAACATCTTCAACTTTTAGTTCAACTTTTAAAAAACATGTTTCAAGGACCTGCATTTTTCCCCCATTTCACTGCCCATGTCTTTCATTTTTCAAAGCAAATGCGTGTCATGTGTGAATGGCCCTCAACGCAGCATTCTAAGCTGAAGTTAAAAGAACTCACATTTTTACATTTCATTTAAACATGCAGTAGCTGGATATGTTTGACTACTGTCCTTGAGCCTCGCTCTTATACAGCTTCTCGCGCATGAGGAGCTTCACACCGAATGCATTTTTCCATTCCATTGTACTACTTTTCTGTTGTTTTTCTATGTAAATGTAACCCCTCTCTCCCGGGTCCTCACCGCCACACCTCGTTCTTGTTCCGAGTGGGTCTCCGGCATGGGAGGCGGATGCACTAACAAGGAGGCTAAAGACTGCAGCCACTAGCGTGTCTCTTGAGATCAGGGGAGTGAGGTTTTTACCTGCACAGCACCTACTTGCTGGCCTCCGTTACACTCACCCCCCTAAGCCTCACTCCCATCCGGGTCACGTCACCAATGTAACCCCTCTCTCCCGGGTCCTCACCGCCACACCTCGTTCTTGTTCCAAATGGGTTTCTAGTCTCTAGACCTTGCATTTTTTTTCATTCCACTGCCCTGCATCTCAAGTTTTTTCATTTCACTGAGCTTCTTTTCCATAGTTTTTCTATTTAAGTTTGTGGTAAATGGACACGTTTGACTGCTGCACTCATGTCTTTTTCAGTATTGCGCAAGACATGGCCTTCTAAAAATGCAAAGTGCAAGTTAAAAGAGCATACATTTTAAAAAAATTTAAAAAAAGTGTCCGTGCCTTTGAGCATCTTGCGGACATGATGTTCTAAAAACACAGCATTCATTTTAAAAGAAGTTAATCCTTAAAAGCTTCTTTTTTAATTTTTAATTTTTATTCCACAGGTTTTAGACACAAAACATGTTCTGCGTGAATGACCAACTTATCTGAACTTAATCAATTATTCTTCTGACAGAGAAGTTAGCAGCGGTAGCGGTGAGCTCTAAGAGAGCCGTGCTGGGTGGAGCAGGTGTGATGGGCCCTCCAGGTCTTCCAGGACCACCTGGACCTCCAGGATCTCAGGGTCCTCATGGACTGCCAGGCGGCCGTGGCATTCCTGGCATAATCGGGGGCCCAGGCCAGATTGGAAACACTGGTCTTAAAGGTTAAAAAAACCTTCTAAATATAGATGCTGCTCTTGAGAAAATATTGTCAGTCGGCCTCATTACTTTAAACATCATCCCCATGTTTCTATTTTGCAGGGAAGAGGGGTGCAAAGGGAGAGAGAGGAGATCTTGGACGACCACATCCTGGCCAACCGGGACCACCTGGACTGCCAGGTAAGTTCAAAGTCCACCTGTATAGTCCGAGATGTCCAATTGCGAATTGGTTTACTCAGCAGCCCATCCTGTTTTTTTACAGGTCCTCCAGGTCTTGACGGTGTGGCTCGTGACGGTAGGCCAGGCGAGCGAGGACCTCAGGGTGCAGCGGGTGAGCCAGGCCGTCCTGGAAAGGCTGGTCCTCTCGGTCTTCCTGGATTTTGTGAAGCAGCTGCATGTTTGGCAGCATCCGCCTACACTTCTCCCAGATTACAAGAGGCGGGAACAGTAAAGGGCCCATCCACTTAAAGCAAGCCCTCTACTGGGGCATAAGAACATCTGGGAGAGAACGAAAAAGTCAGAAAGAAACAAAGAAAGAGGGAGAAGCGTGGAAAGAGGGGCCTTCTCTTCAATGGACACATTGTAAGGGGGGAGGGAGCAGCTGCTGCTTGATATTGTGAACTTTTTGTATGTGTTAGGATTGTTTATATATGATTTGACATCTACGGAAAGGAAGTGTTAAGTTGGCAATGTCAGCCGCTGCTGCTCTGTCCAACCTTACAGTACAGAGAGATGTGAGGACATTGCCAGTGACATCACTGATAACATCATCATCCTGCGCCCTGGACTAGAAGAACTGTGAGAATGACATTTAAAACAAAGGAGCTGTTTTTTTATTTTTTTATATTATTTGTTTTGTGCATCTGATCCAAACTCTTAAAAGATAAAGGATGATGGTGAGATTTTTACATGCCAGGAAATTCTCCTATAATTGAACCAATAAAAAGTATTCAAAGCTACTTTATTAATAGATTCATTTACCTTGTGCTTCAGTGAACGTCTTCCCCGGCTCGAGCGGATACCTCATGTGTACATTATGCCCTTGTTTGTATTGTGTCCATCTCCGCCATGAAGCAATGCCTTTGATCTGCTCTTCTAGGTGAGATGGTGACGTGCTCCCATTAACTTTATCCTCTATTCCATGCTGTAAATCTTTGTAAATGTGTATTAATTGTGTATGGACAGGGTGGGTTTAGAATATAAAACAGAGTTAATGAATTTAATCAGCATTCAGGATCAAACGCCAAACAATGCTTAGACTTTCTGGTCAATTACAAACCTGTATGCCACTTTGAACATACTGTGTGTTATGTACTTAGAGAAGAACTTCATTAACAGACTATTTATTGTTCTTTTTTGGTTCGTCTGTAAACACTCAAGTTTTCTTGCCTGATTGTTCAGATTTACCCCAATCAATAAACCGGAACGTTTTGTAAAACTCAATGTTCGTCTGCATCGTGAACATCTGAGAGGAACAACGATTTTAACTTCTGAAGAACTTATTTTCTCTCCTCTGTACCTCAAACTTCTTTTTTGTTTTAATAAAATGTATTAATTTCGATGTCTTGTCCGTGATAAAGGAGCAAGCATTAAATGTACTTGAATACTATCTAATCATAAAGCACTTGATTGGCGTTACTTTTTTCTAAGCAAAAGAAACCACCTTTAAACTGTCTCCAACATTTGTTTAGGGATACAATAGATACATCTTTTTATTTCACAGGTCTGTGGAATTCTCAATCGCAGCATTCAGCAGTCAGAAATGTCCTAATACTCTCCGTCATCATGGCAACACTGTCATCTGGGTAACTAATGCTGCCTACTTCCACCGTTATTATTATTATTGCCATTTTATGCCTTTATTTCGATAGGACAGTAAGTGGACTTGAAAGCGAAGTGGATAGAGAGAGAGGGCCGCAACGAAACAATCTTCAACCATTTTGTAGAATAAACAGTCTAAGTGTGTTGGGGGGGGAATGTTTGAAATGTTTTACTTTACATGTAATTAATCTAGAATATATGAAAGTTTCACTTTTTGAAACAAGTTACAAAAAAAGAACTTTTTTTCACAATATTCTAATTTTTTTAGATGCACCTGTATATATATATATATA